GCAGGAGAAGGTGTGACTAGGCGAGCTGGGTGTTTGTCGAGAGTCGCTAGCAAAGTTTCGAAATACTTTTTTATTATTTATCCCCTAAGCAGATATATAGTATATATAAAAGGAAGGGAGTGAGCGAAATTCCCATTTCTCCTTTCAAGAGATCGAAATTAAATAGATTAAAAGTTATTGTTGCATAGTCTAGAAAACTTGTTGTTCTACTCTCGTCTGTCGTTTTAAAAGCTATGCATCCCCATTTTACTGCATAAATTAAGGAAACAAAATGGAATATCATTTGCTATCATAAGCAGCTTCTGCGATCTCTCCCATTTACTATCCCCCTCACTACGAGGTCAACTTTTGTGGCGCAAGGCTGCTAATCACATTAACCCCCCACACTATCCCCCCACCACCTCCTCGTGGTGCACAAATAATTACAGCAATTAAAAAGTTGAAATGATTTGTGTGGGGAAAATTTATTTCAACTGATTTGATCAGCTAGAATGCGTTCATTGGTCCCCGTTCCACACCCTGTTGCTATCTACTTTTAATGCTCCTCCGACCCACTGCCTGCCAAAGCTATAGCTAGGAGACAGCAAGGAGCCAGGAGAACGCCGTCGTCACCACTAATGGAATTAATTGGCGTTCTGTGTTGAATGCTAATAAAATCACTAAGCTCGACACAACAAGAACTAACTGTGCGCAACAAATTAGACAAAACTTGAATGCTTTAATTAGATTACGAGATATAGAGAGAGAGCGACAGGGAGATAGGAAGAGAGACAGGCAGAGGCAGAGACAGGGCTGCACTTTGTCGAAATTCCTACTAGCCCTACCAGCGCGGCACAAATTGTCAATTAGCATAAACTCCAAGAGGATTATGAGTGGATTAAAATGAATGTGAACGGCGCTTCCTCTGAGCGATAAATTCGAGTGTGTCTATGGGTAAATAGCATTAACAGATGTTAAAGGGAATAGTGGCCCATTATGAGCAAACCGCTGTTAAAAATTGAAATTAATTAATGACAATTTGGCCATATTCACAATTCATGAGAGTGATAATTATCAACTTTTCTGGAGAGTCCCAGAGATGGGCTGGAATTTTTCTTTTGGCCAGAAATGAACTTTTGCCTTCATTAAATCGTTAATGCAATTGACCGCTTACGGGTCAAATGACAAAAGGCCAATTCCCCCTCGACTGACCGCCCATGTCGCACACTTTTAAACAAAAGGGGTATGGAGCCAGGCCCTGGACGTCATTCCACCTACTGTACTCCAGCACCAGCAAAAGGTGTCCGTAATTGTATGTGAAACTTGTTGAAGGCTTCAATTATGATGTGTTTACACAGCGTCCCTGTATTGGTGCACACATTGAACAGAGGGGTAGAACGAGAATTTTATAGGGGGGTTGAAATTAAATAAAGCAGAGACACGAATCACGACCATAGCCATTTGATCGCAAGCTAACGACACGATCTAAAAATTGAAGCTTGACGACTGCTGAATAATATCTGAGAACGAAAACTTTGGGGAGAACTGAGGAATATTTAGTTTCGGATATTATTCACTTTCCCCTCCATCGTGTAACCCTTCTGACTAAGCCCCTGATGCACACACACACACTCGCACAAAGCGACCGCAGCGCACTTGCACTTTGCCCCGGACTCAGTTGAATTTAAGGCGGGATGGGATGGGTGGCTTGGGTTGGGTTGGGTTGGGTAGACCCAAACCCCAAGCCCCGACCCAGTTGGTCGGGACTGGTCTGGTCTGGTTGGGTCGGCTCCTGGCTGGTTCCATATTGTGTTGCAGCTGCTGTTGCCGGAGCCTTGACTTGGCTTGGTGCTCATGTTGTTGCTGCGAAATGCTGGATAATTGGCGTAAATAGCAAAACAGCAAATTGCCATTAACTATTGGAAAAATGTTCGCCTCGCTTGCCCCGACTTTGGCTCTGCCCCTCCACCCGTCCATGAAAGGGATTCTGCAGCGTATACAGAGGCGGCGATGGAAGGAGTCGAACGAGTCGAACGAGTCGAAGGAGTAGTCGGAGCCTGCTGATGATGACGTTTGTGCTGGCGTTGGCGTTGCCGCTGGTGTGTTGTGTTGTGTTGTGTAGGTGTCGGTGATTACGCGAAATGCAATTAAAAATATTTAAGCTGCATGCAACAGCAGAAGCTACTACATACAGCGACAATAACAACAGCAATGGCCACATAAATAATGCCAAACCGTTTATTAAAGCGCTCGCTTCAGTTTAAAGACTTTAAATTTTTCGTTTTTATTTTGGCCCTCAGTCTGTGGCCTGATTTTTAATCGTTTTAAAGCCTTTGTCACATTTTGTTGTTGCGTGTGCAACATGAGGCGCTTAACGCAGTGCTTATTATTGTATGGTTGCCTCGTACCTGGACCCGGAGCCAAGCCTGTGCTGCTTGCTGCTGCTGCTGATGCTTGTAAAGAGGGATTTTAAAATATCTCGATTCCTGTCTTTTTTCGCACACTCAATGCAACGGCTATTAATTAACAAGGGATAGCGATTGTTGTTTTTTTGTACACATGCCAAGCAGGCAGATTAATAAAGTGATACAAACGAGTGAGTGCAAGAGAGAGAGAAGGAGAGCAGCAGAGACAGACAGACAGATGCAGCGAAAGAGACAACACGAGCTTAACGTGCCGCAGTGGACTGAGCTGATGGAAAAGCTCCCAGGACGCGGCACTGGACTCAAATATGTATGTTGGATTATGGCTTACAAGCGATAATTGCTGCGAACTTGCGTGATTGGCAGGAAATCAAAACTCATCGGTGATTATGAAAATCTATTTAAAGGCCACTTCAAAGTAGTATTGATAAATGTATAATTTTATATACAAAATAATTATATTAGCGATAAATATTTATATTATGTAAGGGCTTATAATTTTAATACTCTACACATGGTTAATAAATATAGCCAGTATTTGTAGACTTCCGATGAACCCGATGAACCCGCTTAGGACGAGTCCCACATTAAAATTTATTATTAAATTTTAGTTGTAATTATAGAGTCAAAATGCAAATTCTCACCAAATTGAAGCCAAATCCGGCCGAAATTAAATCCCTTCCACAAAACATACGAACTCCTCTCCCCCCACAGGCTTTGCATAGTTTAACATAATTTGATTTACATTATTCCAGAATGCTAAACAAACAGGTGCACAGAAGCCAGCTAAGAGTGGGAAAAACATTGCATAATTTGCGGCGTCGCCTCATCAGACCGTAAGCGCACTTCCAGCGCCATCACCCGCCCCCCAAAGGGCTGCTGACGTCCTTCTCCCCCAAGAGGCATTTCAGTCCAAGCTGCGGCTCAGAGAGCGCCAAGCAGAGTCTGGATTTGAGTCAGACTAAGGCTCTTGGCGCTGGGCTCGAGCTCAGGTTCAGGCTCATGATGGTTATTATGTTAATTTACATGTCTGATGGCCATAAAACGGCTCACGGCTGTGGGGCTCCACCCCTACAGACCCACCAATAAGAGTGGGCGTGGCAGGTGCGACTAATGCATAAATTCTCTATAAACATATAGATTATGCCCCAGCCCCTGTCCTGTACACACACTGTACTCGTACTCAGTCGTGTGGCAGCCAGCGCCACAAAGTATGTGAAGTTATGTGCAAGCCTATGCAAAGCTTTGAATCTGCACTAGAGGAACAACCTGCACCATCCGCTCCTACTGCTCTTCCCATTCCATGGCTGGCATGAGCAGCCGCGCGTGTTTTATATGCCAAAACAAAATGAGTTTCTCGCATGCCTGCCTAACGTTCTCCTGCTCTGACGGCAGCCGACACGGAGATGAATGCGTGAGTGGATACCGCTCGTGAGTGGCTCAAAGGCTGCTCGGAAGAAGTCGGATATGAAAGCAGGAACAGAAAACTAGATGGTGTTTATTTACAAGTCGATTGGCAAACCGCATAATGATCCATAAACATCAAAATGGATTTCCCTGTTTATATAGTTTTGGTTTATTATTTGTTGTTTATTTTATTTCATTATTTGTATGCTTATTTTTTGGCTACAATCTAATACCACGCTGTGTCACGCATTCATCTCCAATGGGAACCCTTCCCCAGCTGCAGTTGGGCAAAAGACATCATCCCGCGTGAGCGGCTCACCTGTGGAAGGGCGCATGGGGTACAGCAACCCCATAATTGAGCTAAAATAGTTTGCATAAAAATGCAAATTGTCACATATCCTGCAGTTTTCCATTTAGCTTCGAACATTTCCAGAGCCGACAGTGGCAGCAAATTGTTTGCGGGCTTATCCCGCCAACAAATCTCCCGGCACCGAGCACTGAGCTTCGGAGCAAATGAATGAGGCCTCTCCACCGCTCGCTCTCTCCCCCGCTGTTTCTCTTGGAATGGCTGGGAAAATGGTGGCCAATTTGTTTTTAGCCGCCTATTTAAATGCGGCAAAAACGTTGGCGATTGTTGCCGCTGATGCGATTTGCAAGCAAATGCCGTTGCATTAATTGAAATGCAGCCAGGCGATGATGAAAGCTTTTATTGCAGCGAATGTGGCAGGCGAATTGAGGTTGCACCACAAAAGTATTAGTCTGCCTACCAAACAATCTACGAGACCAACTGGCTAACTCTCTTTTGCTTTGGAAAAATAAATGAGCAAGTCCTGAGATTATCTAGAGAGAGACACACAAAGCATTCATCAAAATGTGACAAAAATTTCGTATGTTGATTCATGTGGCCCTGGCCGCCAAAAGGAGGGAGAATAAAAATCGAGCTAAGAAAATATTTTCGCATAAGCAAATGTCAAACGGGGCCAAGAGAGGGAAGATGAGAAGTTTCTTTTAGACACGGATTTAATGAGATAAATTTTTGATTTAAGCATTTTTGCGGGCAAGACCCGGCAGCCAAGGCAGCTGAAGCCGGCACACGATGGCAAACTATTTTCATTTTTATGAGATTTTTATCTTATTTAATTTAAACATACTTTTTGTCCCTCCCTTTGCTTATGAGTAGGATCTACTCACTTTTTTTTTTTGTGTAACTCGCGTGCCCCCGGGCTGTCAACGGCAGCAGGAAGGGACGCTGGCACTTTGTCCTTTTGCCTCTGTCGGCTGCGCGCTGAAAAACAATTTAAAGACAAAAGTTAGCACAAGTATGGAAACTTTGCTAGTTGCTTGTTAGTTAAGTAATAATGCGTAAAAGGAATTCCAAATGCAGCAGAATCAGCAGCAGCAGCAAAGGCCACGAGAAGCTGCAGCTGCAGCAGCAGCAGAAGCATGGCAAATGCAATTAAATTGAGACCGCTACGGCACCTGCAGCCAAATTAGCCGCCAGCAACATCAAATACAAGGGAAAGGCTCCACAGTTGATCGTAACGACTAAGGGATACCCTTACTCATTACACATGTAAATATATCATTGCATATACCTTTACTTTCTCTGCTAGAGGGTATTAGAACATGCAAAAACTTTCAACAGTTTTGCGCGAGACGTCTGCACTAATGCAACGAAAAGCGAGCGACCGAAATCAGGAAAACTTTCGTCAGACAACAATAAACCAAATTGGGGAGCTTACTGGGCCACCTCGAGCTCCCCAATCTCCATCTTTCTGTTTCTGGTGTACGCTCTGACAGTTCCAAATTTGAAATGATTTCCTGCACAGCCTCAAAACCAGACCCAGATCCGCTGCAGCCTCAACCTCAACCTCGGACAATGGCCAAGTCGAACTGGCGCCAGAGCCAAGATTCCCTTCGTCAGTTTCTCATGTCCCGCTCTGCACCCAGACTGTCCCTGTCTGTTCTCTTTTTTGGGACCGTTTTCCAGTCAACTTTTGGCCCGGGGCTGGAATTTTTATATATATTTTTCTTTGTACTCAAAATTTATGACTTGAACATGTTAATATGTGCGGATCATATACAGCACATTTGGCTGTGATTTATGCTAACTCATTTAAGCCCAACAAGATGATAAATCTCAAACTTTATGTGGGGATTAAGGCTAGTTTGTGTGTGTCTGTGTATGTGTGTGGAAATATGAGAATGTGGTGGAGTAAACCAGTAAAGGTGACTGGACATCCTTCGACTTACTCGATCGTATTCCCTTTGACTAATTCGACAGTCCAATTTCAATTAGTTTATTAGCTAACACACACATTGCTCTGACAGCTGCGGTTGGCTTTAAACTGGTTTCAAATTCTCTGTGAAGGTGTTCAGACCGCACTTAAATCCAGCATTATGCACGACATGTGCAGAGCCCGCAGATTGCTGTCTAATATTAATTTTTGCACTTGGCAGCTTAAAGCTTTAGAATTTGTTTATGCTTCGAATTTTTGAATATTTTCTACTTGTTTCCGTTCACTACACCGCTCTTCACACCAACACACCTCCAGGGGGCATACACTGGCTGAGGAAAAGTGTGTGAGAAAGGGAGGAAACAGGGGAGATTTTTTACACGAATCTAACATAACTCTACACTCCATGAGCACCGGTTATAATTATCTGGGGTATTAACTCAGAGTATCCAAAATATATTCCAGCATGGCATGCAAACTATTTTCACTTTAAGCTTCATCACAGCGAAAAAAAAATGTCCACTGTGAGCCGCTAATTAAGTGGGTGGGAGACACAGAGGATAACCAAATTGATGTGGTCATCATCCACTTTTATGGTTACTGCTTGCTCTGGTATCCGACGTAGGTAAAAAGTTGGATGAGAATCTATGTGGATAGAGGATATGTACAATGTAGGGGATATATATATACTCATATGTATATATGCATGTGCTGCTGGTTGCACCTTTTTGGGTGACATCCGAGGGGTCATTGATATGCTAACAAACTGTCAAAGCAAATATGCTTAAGATATGAAGGCGGCTCTTGGTTGAAGGGGATGCAAACTAGAGCGTGGCGCATGACAATGACAGCCCTTGCTCCAGGACATGACACGGAAGTTCCATTCACACGCACACGCCACGAACACTCACAGAGGAGCGAACTTCGAGCGTTTGGTCAACTTCCGCCTCAAGGTAAACGGAAGTGAACCAAGCAGCAGACGTTTAATGCTGTCAACCAATAAGGGAGGGAATAACATGCAGCGGGGTAACGTTTACCTGGCAAAAGTTATTTCAATCGCAGCTCTAAAGCCTGACTAACGCACACAAAGAGGGGGTAAATTCTTTATCTCAGCCAGCACAGAAGTGGCCCCAGACAAAGTGTTTTCCCTAAGATCTCATTGAGTCAATTAGCAGCTTAGCAGAACTATGTATGTATATCCTGCCCCTGAAGCTGAAGATGCGTCCTGTTCTCACAAATTCAGCTTAAACCGCCAGACAAAACCAAAGTGCCCCAGCTTCACCCAGTGGCAAGTGGAATGGCATAACTCACACGGTTTTAGGTTATTAGCGTAATGCAGAACAGACAGACGATTGTCGCAAAAGGAGGCGGCTGCCGTGAGACGGGCGCCGGGAGCCAAGGGCATTTACTCATAGAGATTGCCATGTGCATAAACCGCAACGTATGCGCAGGGCCCTCCTCCACACTCCCCCTGCGGAGGCGCATATAACGCTGACAAATGGGAGTCGGTTTGCAGGCAGCAGCCAGGTTCGGTTCCTCGCAAGTGTCTGGTTTTGCATTTGAAATTTATAATGCAGCCATAACTAAAGTGAGCCAGCCCGCCATCCCTTCATCCACCACACCACATCCACAGATTTGCACACCAAAATTGCCATTATGAAAATGTTCACCGAACTGTGGCGCGAAGAACTATTTTCAAATTATAGTATGGCCAGGAGGTGAAGCATCAGAGCTGAAATAAAATTTAGAGTCGCTTACCCTGATCATCCGCCGGCAGCGAGCTTCCATCAGCAATAACTCAGACCCATAAAATCGTAGGATCCCTACCAGCTGCCAGTAATCCAGAGGAAAGCACTTCATAACTTGTTTATAAAAACCAAAATCGCATAACAAATAAATTTCCCTCAATGTGCAACATAAAAACATATTTACGATCCGGACAATGCTCGTAAATGACAAATTGGCGCATAATATTTGTTTACCAGCACGGATAATCAAATAAACTTGGAACTCGCCGTCAAAAAACCCGCTGGGAATCAGGAACCAGCCTCAAATGGAGATGACTCGACAATTGAGATTCGCTTGCTGTCAGTGCTAATAAGTATGTAAGCCAAAGTGCGAGTTTAAAGAAATTGAGTTGCCAATAAAAATGGATAGAAATAGTATTTAAATTTTAGGAAAAATATATGGCTTTTTGCGGTTTTCTTTACCCAAGAAAATATTAGTCAATGTTAACCAACATCACATAGAATCGGAGAAAAATGGTAGGTAAACAAACGAAGTGAAATTAAATGGAACTCACATTAATTTAAACCTAAATGTATTAAAAAGTTATTTTAATGCGTCTCATATTTAATCTATATCTTCAACACATATAATTAAATTATATATATTAAATTTTTTAAGACAGATATTTAGTCTGCATATAAAAGTATTTATATGAAATATATTTATTTTAAATATTAGTATATTTAGATAATTTATTTTCATATTAATTTTTACTCTCGATGCTTATATGGATATACATTTTTGAATCTGAAGTGTAAATATTCGATCATATATATATAGCTGTATATATATGTATATACATATATCAGCATAAATCAGCCAAAATGTATGTATATAATTCCTTCAAATTCATAAAACCGTAACGCCAAAAGTCCTACAACTTTCCGCATTTTTGGCCAAGTCTTGTCCACGACTGCTCTTGCTCTCTATTAGATTATAAAAGAGTTCCCGAAAAATAAAAAAAAACACTTCGCATCTAAATATTTATGCAAAATAAATGAAACCCCCTCTAAAGCGTAGACTATTTGCATATGTACGGGTATGCTTCGAGTGGAAGGAATTCCAAGTTTTGGGAGCAGCAGCAGACTGACGAAGCACATAAAAAATGCGCTGGGAGTGGGGAATGGTGAAAGACCATCCAAGTCAAGCCCAGCCAAGCCGAGCACCTAGCTCATATTACGACATCTCTACGCATCAAAAGACACGTTTTAGCACCAATACAAATAGTCGTCGAGGCGCACACACACAGATACTCGTACTGGCACATACAGGCACAGACACAGACTCAAACACCATGACCAGGGAGACGTGCATGCGGCCATTGTGCGGCTCCGTTGGAGCTCCTGCTGCAGCTCTGACGCTGATGAGAGTGGAGGAGCCATAGGGATGGCATGGAGAAGATGCCACCGCGAGTGCACATGAACTATAAACCGCATTTTTACGTGCCCCGGAAGGAGGGCTGCCAATGGCAGGGCACAAAAAGTGCAGCCAAACGTTAAACTCTTAAAGTCCTGCCTTAAAGAAGTGATGCTAGCACACAAGACGAAAGAAACTGCCAATCTGCAGTGGCCAGAGCAAATAAGCAATTATTCTGCAATATCTTTGAAATTAACACACCTTCTTCTGGTCTCCGTTCCCCGCTATCCTTGGTTTCGACCAGGTTGAGTGGTACAGGGAGAAGCAGTAAATGAAACGTTATCAATGTAACGAGTGTCGTCGCTCTGTCGAACGGAGCGGAACGGAACGGAATGGCAGAGAACGTCAGCGAAGGCGAAGCGCCCCGGAAAGCCAATGTAAAACAGAGTGGAAATACTGAAAAATGTATGGATAGCATGGACAAGGCGCATCTAACGAGCGAGGGTGGCTTGAGGACTATGAGCAATAAAACGAAATGTAGGGTAAAGCCTCAAACTCTAAACTGCAAGCGAATAAAATAATTAGCACTTAAATCACGCCAAGGACAACCCCCATAAGGCAAGCTAGAATATATCCCAGGTGATGCTCAACCGCAACTAACATAGTTTCGCCTCTGAAAGAGAATCCTTGAACCAAACAACCTGAAAGATGTTTTGCCTTTCCCATTTCATAGCCCTCAACATCACTGCAAATTACTTTTCATATCTATATCTGAGCCTTCAATTCCATTAACTGTCATCTCACTTGACTAATCCCCCATTTCACACCTTTCCAGGCCCATTGCAATTCTATGCCAACTGAGCCTCAACAACATCCCATCCAACAGCATAGTTGTTGCAACATATTTTGGGAGTTCTTTCGCACCGCCCTCGTCCGGAAGAAGCGTTGAAAATCTGCCCAATTCGTTTGCTTTGATTACGAGCTTGTTGCCGCCTGATGCAATGGATAGAGATAGGGACAGGGGCAGAAGCAGAGGCAGAGGAGCAGATCCAGAAACACCTCCGAAAGCCACAAGCCCAACTACCCGTACTACTGAGCTGGTCAACATTTAGCTAACTATTTTTTCACACTCTCTCTATCTCTGTCTCAGACAGCGTATCTGTCTCTCTCTCTCTTACTCTCTGTCTCTTACTCTCCTACTCTGTTTCTCCTTCTGTGTCTGTTTTCGACGAATGTTGCTCCTTTTTTGCCAGTCACTTTTAAATTAAGCAATTTGAAATGTTGACCAGAGAATCTTTCCTCTTCTTCCCTTTTGCCCATCACCTCCGTTCCGACTGAGACCGCAAACTGTTGGCCCACAAGTTGTGTAGAGTGTCACGGGTTGTAATCGTTCGTTGTAGGTGGCTGTAACTTGGTCAGTGGCAGCAGCAGCAGCAGCAGCAGAACTCATAGCACTTGCTGTAGCATTGAAAATACCCGTAAAGATAGCACAACCAACACACAGAGAGAGGCAGGAGGAGGCAGAGGCAGGGAGGCAACGGACTGTGTCGAAGGATGAGTCGATGGCCGACTAACTACAATTTTTTGATTGCCCGTGTTTTGTGAGCGCGCTGGCCATTTGCTTTACCGCCTCCGAGCCCTGCCCAATCCGAGCCGGCTTTGACCAGCTCAGCGCTGGCCCAACCATTTTAATTTCACTTTACGGTTTCCAAACACGAAATCCTTTTTGCCACTAGGTGTAGCCAGGGCTCGTTTTTTATCGCTCTCGCCCCCTTGTGTGTCCTGCTGGAGGTGTGTTTGTTTGGTTCTCCTGTTTGTGGGGTATTAAAAAGTGAAATGGTGGCACTCAAAACCCCCAGAGAGCGAGCCAAGGATGCAAGTCATATGTGTGTGTTTGCACGTGTGTGTAGAGGGAATACTCGTAGCATGTGGGATGTCGGACGGGGAAGGGACAGAAGCCGGAGCCAGAGCCAGAGCCGGGCAGGCCTTGGGAGAGGCATGACAGAGATTAGCTCAGGTTTGGGTCGATTAGGTACGGATGGGTTCTACTTCTAGTTCTGGTTTTGGTTTCGGTTACGCTGCGGTGATCTAAGCCGGAGCTAAATGCTTTCGGATTGCACAGATTGATGATGATGATGGTGGTGGTGGATCTGAGGTGATTTCTGAGACTTCCTCTTTGCTGAAAATTGTAAACGGCTTAATCGCTTTATGGCTGATTTAATGGTCATGTTCATGTTTGTTGGAAATTAAATAGGCAAACATATTGAGGCAAGACAGCGCCAGCAGCAAAGGGGCGTAGCCGAAGCGCCCCTATGAGAGATACATAAAAAAAGAAAAGAAAAGCAATGCCCGAGGCAGCGGCAGCGGCAGGAGGTGGCAATAAAATAAATAAACTTTGAAGGCAATCTCAATTGGAAGCGACAATATTGTTTTTAATGATTTCCATGGCACACAGACCGAGACCGACACACAGCGCCCGTTTCGTGTGGAATGGGGAACGAAGGGGAATCTTTTTATTTGGCTTTTTGGCTGCCGAAGGCAAGCAAGGAAAGCCCGGAAAATCGAGCAAAACAAACCGGAGAGAGAAAAAATATATATAACACAAAGCATATGCGTGGGCGGCCGCATTACGAGAGAACAACAAAAGACCATGAAAAATCAAGGCAATGGCGCGATTGGGGGAACGAATGAATGGCTACTCCTGTGGACTGTGCTGGCAGGGAAATCTTTTAAGCAAATTTGTGCCAAGGATAACAATGTGTTGCATACGTATTACGTATATAGAGCACTTAGTGCATTAGCTAATTAGATGGGAATTCCTCGAAAATCAACTGGAAGCGCTTTAATCTCGGAGAGCATACGGGGCACGCTTCATTCACGCAAACCAATTTACATTTGAACTTTGCCCTGAATCAGCGCGGAATCATCATCATCGTGAGCAGCAGAAACGGGAACACGAGCGACCATACCCGTAGAATGACCGCAGCAAAGTTTACGGGGGTAAACAAGAAGTCAAGGACTGGTGATTGAGCAGTTCGAAGAAGTTTTCCTAGCCAAAGTTGCGCTTAAGAAATCAAAGTAACTTTCTCAGCCATTGCGAGCATCTCTCTCTCGCTCTCTCTCTCTATATCTATTTCGGTTATAGGGGTATTTGTATGTATGTATCTACATTTTATACAAACATTTTTTCATCAACTGCTATACAGTTATTGGAAACTTTTACTGAACCAGAAGAGCCAGTGCAGAGCAGAGCAGGCAACTTGCCAACTCCTGCAGAACAACAACTGGCCAACGCCTGACTACGGCCCCAGGACCAGTTAATACACTAACGAACTGCAAGAAACACAGCTGTGGTATATCAGCTATGAGGCTGAGAAGAGAAGACGGGCTCAAGAGAAGTAAAAGTAACATATGTATATCTTCTTCGTGCTTGTCCGTGAAAGATAGACTTGTCTTTCACATTTAAATTGAATTCTTCGTGGCCCCATCTATGTTCCATTATTATTCTACTTAATTTTTGACTGAAAGGGAATTTCCTAGTCGCTAGCTGTTCCTCGCTACCTACTGGTTATTTACGAGCCCCTTACAGCCCCCAGAGCCCGACCAAGGGACAATGGCCAAATCATGCGTGTTATTTATACGCTCCCAGAGCAGCAGCACCAGCAGCAGCAGCACAGAACAAAGTGTTGATAAGTTGGGATAAGCCAGTAGACCAAGTCAAGGTGCAGCAACCCGGGCCTTGATGATGGCCAGCTGGTGCAGTAATAGTTGGTAGTTGCTAGTAGCACTGCCAGTGCCAGTGGCTGCACTTGTTTAATTAAAAAACTTTCGTTGTTGATTTTATTTATTGGATTTCCGTGGACCTCAACTTGACGACCGTTGGCTCTCGGTCGGGCTTCAATGCGTGGTGTGGCCCACTCAGGATCCTGCTGCTCTTCACGGTGTAGTCGAGGGTCTCTTTGTTCTCGCGCCACTCATCTGATGTGAAGAACACGAATCCGACCCGCTCGGCCTTGCGGTAGGCGAGCAGTGGGCCCCGTGACCCAAAATCGTAGGGCAGCGGCTTGGGTCGATCCGTATCGATCCTCTGCAGAATGGGTGAGAAGATGCGCCAGATCTCGCACTGCTCATCGGTGCGCATGAACATGCTCTGATTGCCCTTCAAGATGTCCAGGATGAGGCTGTTGTAGTTGGGCATGTACTTGGTGTTTCTGTCATCCACGCGCAGATTGAGAGCCGCCTCCTTCAGACAGAGCTCCTCTCCGGGCTGCTTCAGTCGCAGCCGCATGAAGATCTCCTCGAACGGTGAGAGTCTTAGCACCAGCTCATTCCTGATGTCCAGATCCTTGCTGTTCCCCTCATCGCATCCCACCGATTTGTACTGGATCCGCACCTCCGTCTTGGTGTCGTTCATGGCTTTGCCGGCACGCAGAATGAAGGGCACTCCCGACCAGCGCCTGTTGTTGATGTGCAGGACAACCATAGCGAATGTGGGCGTCGCAGAGTCCCTGGGTATGTAGCTGTGCTCCGTGTAGCCCACCTTGTCGGGATCGCTCTCCATGCGGTTGTTGCGGTACTGGCCAATGACCACGTCCCCCATGTTCGCGGTGGTCACCTCTTTGAATAGATTCAGCCGCTCGTTTCGCAGGTCGTCGATGGTGTTGGAGTAGGGCTTGTCCATGGCCACCAAAGCCAGCAGCTGCATCATGTGATTGGTCATCACGTCGCGGATGATGCCGAAGAAGTTGAAGTATTCCGCCCGAGCCTTTACCGGCTTCTCGCACTTCACCGTTATCATCACGGCGGCCACGTGACTATTGTTGAGCGTCTCCGACCAGAGGTGGTTGGCGAAGCGCAGCCCAAACACGTTCTGCGTTATCTGCTTGCTCAGGAAGTGATCGATCATGTAGATCTGCGACTCCTTGAACGTCTGACAGAGGGCCGTCTGGTAGGGCCTGAAGGTCAGATCGTTCCTGGCAAAGGGCTTCTCCACCACAATCCGTGTGCAGCCCGTGGACGATTTACACTTTCGGCTCAAGTTGAGGGTCACCTGATCGAAGACGACGGGGGGCAGGGCCAGGTAAAATATGCGATTGGCATAGATCTGGTTGTGCTTTGACTCCTGCAGGACCATGGCCTCGGTTAGGGCAGCGTAGTCCTCCGGACTGTCGTATTGCCCCTGAACACAGTGCACCGTCAGCCAGAAGCTGTTGAATTTCTGGGGATCCCGCTCCGGATCCAGGTCCATATAGGGTGCGCATGTCAGCCGGTAAGTCCGCGTGTGGAGTTTTGTTCGGCTGTAGGTGAAAATGCGGGTGCCCTGCGGCAGGCGATTGTCCCTGTAGAGGGCCCAGAGGGCCGGAAAAACCTTCTGCGTGGCCAGCCTCCCCGAAGCACCCAACACGACAAAGGAATGGGCCGTCTCCAGGTTCGGATCGATGGGTTGCATTTCGCTAAGGTCAAAACTCGAATTTTGTAGGAATAATCGAAAAGGGAGAATTTCGAAGGGAATTTTGAGCGTTCGAGCAAAGAGAGAGCGATGAGAGCCACCAAAGAAAAAGCAGCTTAAGCTTCAACTACAACTAAATACGGCAGAGAGCCCTTAAAGCCGCCAGTGAGCCAATCCAATATTTTCACAGAATTTAAATCACCATTTCCTGCTGCTACCAAATAAAATGTTATTTTAGCCAGCAGCAAAAACGGGGCAGGAAAACTGGCTGGCAAGAGATTTGAGAACCCGAACGGAAGCAGGGGCAGGGGCAGGATTACTTGCCAGCGGAGCAGAACGACGCGTCGTTGGTGGAGGGCAAGAAGTTTCGAGTCTCGAATCAACACATGAGAGATTTCCAGCTGCCTTTGCCTTTGCCTTGCAATTCAAATTCAATCATTACAAATGCCTTAAGCTGCCGTTGAAGTACATCCGAGACCGACGGAGGATCAGAACTGGGGGAATGATGCTCCATTGGCATTTGTACATATACTTTCGGAGGGCGCACATGTTGAGAGGCCAGCTAATAGTCCTGGCCTCCGCACCTCAGGCCCAGACAGATGATGACAATTCGAGTTCAATGATTGCAGGCCATTTCTCTTTATTTAATCCTTCTTCAATGACAGAAACGCGGACAATATTCAACAGAACTAATGGGTCTTTTCTTTCGGGCGAGTCTAGTCTGTCTGTCTAGTCTGTCTTTATTGACTAGTTCACAACAAATGTATTTTCGGAATGTCTACTCTACGCACTATTTTCACACATTTTGCTTGCTTTATGTTCCAGCGATAGCCCTTCTTAAAGCACTTCCTGACAAATTTCGTGGAAGGCTTAATCGTGGTAGCAGTATTGTCCTCCGCCATAGCCTTCAGGCTGAGGCAGCAAATCAACAGCAGCAGTGTAAAAAAGCAGATATTCGTCAGAAAGATGTTCATGGCTCAGCGGTTTACGGGGTATTAAGGCGGAGAACACATTGTTCTCGAACTGGCCCTGTGGTGGAGCTAATTGTGAAACTTTACAGTGCTGAAGCTTGACGAAACCATTCGGACATGGCTGACCAAAGAGTTATGTAAATATTTTTTCAACTCTCCAGATTTGTTCCCCGTCACCCCAATGGTATATGGATTTCTCGAAAGGCTGAGGGGCAAGAGAATTTGCTCTGGCTTATGGCCTGCAAAGACTCAGGTGACAAAGGGGGGGGGGGCAGAAAGGGAGGAGCACAGAAAGCATGGATTACAACCTTCACTAAGCCAAGGAACACAAACAGGAACAGGAATAAAATAAAAGTAAATAATATGAAAGCGTGAGGGTAAAAGCAGCTCCGATAACGTGACGCACGCATCCAAATCAAGACTAATTCACTGGCATTTTTTCCCGCTACTGCTTGCCTACTCTCTGTCTGAGTTCCCACTCATTTTCTTGCCACGTGCCTGTCAAAACCCACAGTATTATTAGGCAAACGAGAAGCCTCAGCGTTGAGTTGCCAGGAGACTCCTCTCATCCTCTCAAGCTGTACATCTTCAACTTTAATTGCTTGCTGTTGTCTTTGCTAATTGGCTTTGTTTGCGGTCCCCTCTCTGGATAGGCCCAAGCCCAATCCACGTTCAAAAACGTCCAATGAGTGCAATCCCCGTGCACATCCTCATCTGGCTGACGTATCCGGGCGCCCACCTGACGTATGCTTGTTATTCTGCCATAATCATGGTCAAGCATTGGTCAATAGCTTGTATTTACAACTAATTGAGGTCGAAGTCGTTGCTGCCTTGCATTTGCATAAGCCTCCCATCGACAGATGGACTCGAGATTGAAGGACATGTGGGACATTACGATTAAGAGTGGCCAAATGTAAGGAAAATCAAGTTATGAATGTGATAGTAAATTAATAAATAAGGCTATCAGAGGCATACAAAATGCAGAGAGAACTCTATGAAGATATGCGAAACTTTTAAAGGTGAAATAAGTTTAAGAAAACTATAAAAAACTTTGCTTAAAGTTACACAAAGTCAATAAATTTCTTGGACTTCTAGGAAAAATAACCAATGGTGGAGGGTGGCTTTCAAAGCTGACCTCGAAAAATTACCCTAACTCCGTAGCAAGAAAAATTTATTCAAATTTTGAGCCTTCAAAGCTGTCAATATAGCCTGAAAAATGATAAGTTCAATATTAAGGCATAGCCACACGCAAATCGTTTGATTCATTTTACGACCTCCCCCAAATCGCTCATAGTGACCTTTTGCAATGAACCGACAAGCGGCAGCAAGCCTTGCCGCATTTGGTTGTAGCTCTTTTGGTCGGTTAGTAGGCCAACTGGCGCCTTGGCTTCCTTCTTCCCCTGAAAGTCAATTTCAATCAGCAAACAAAGGAAATTCCTAGGCCGAAACCCAAGCACAAACATAAGAGTGGTCAGTGAGCCCAGCCCGGAGTCCGGACTCTGCACTCCGGATGGATGACCCAGACAAAGTAGCTGGGACATAGCTCGAACAGGACCAGAAGGAGCCGAAACTTTGCCAGCGATTTATGCACAAGCCAAGCATTTTAAACACATGCATAAATCACACACATGGGAAGCCAGGGCAAGGCAGCGGCAAGCGGTGAGCGGAACAGAATGAAATATTTGGCAAACAGTTGCTTAAAGCCAAAGTTTTTAAATGCCCCAAATGATCAGGTCAGGTGGGGTCGGTTCTGCAAGTCTGTTCATCTCCTACTCTGATGATGTGTAACAGTTTGTGGCAAATGGAAACGGAATAGAGGAACGGAAACACACCATTAAGCTCATAATTGCCACATGGAAATGGCCAAGCAGGAATAGAATATGGAGAAGGACCAGAGTATAGTTCACATGTGCCAGCTGTCGGGAGTAAATTGTGGTTTATTTGTTTTCATATACTTTCACTTGGCTCGCATAAAATTTAATTAAATTGTTTTATTGCATTCTGGCCGTGTGGCATTCCTTTTGCCAACTGGCTCTGAGCAAATGGAACGCCCGAAAGAAAAGAGAAGATATCTCTGTTCGCATAATTAAAATAAGGCGCGGCTCCGCATTTTTGTTGGCTTTGGCTAATCTTTTATTGGATTTCCCAGCCAGACGTGGAGCTGGAGTCGGTTTTGGTCTCGGATTCCTTTGGTCCATTCATTTATCAAATGAAATCAAGAGTTGTATGTAGAGGCATCTCGTCATTTGTTTGGGCCTTCGTAAGAACCTGGCCTGGCCTTCTGTAACATTTGGCTGACAAGAACCAAACATAAAAGCCTGTTAAGTAATTGACCCGAGGCTTTGAGGGACTTTAGGAGACATTTTAAAAATTAAACACTGACAACTTCATTATCTCTGAGCCTCTCGAACACGGTTTTTTCCATTGTTAAGATAATTAATTTCTGGGTAAATTTAACCCACAGGTTGACTTCTGAATGGCAGTTGACTTTTGTCCGCAATTTCACCTGCTATTAAAGTGGTTATTTTGGATATGCGCGAGGGGATTGCCGGAACACAACTAAAGTTGAGTTAGGTCCGGGAACTTGTGCCCGGGAAAATCAATATCCACTTGTGGGCGGAGTTCGTATCGATTGAGGGGGGGTTAAATCATAGCTAAAAGCATAATGGCTTGGCAGCAACACGGAAGCATTAAATAATTAAATAGAGCTACAAGAGACGTTAGGAAAGCGCCTTTGGATAAACACACTTGTCTCCTCGGGGACCCGTAGGTGTGCGCCCAAGAGGCGCTTCACTGTCGATGGCAAAATACATGGCATTCATTTAGGCGTAATCCTCAGCAAGAGCAGAAAGTGGCACACAGAGCAGCATACAGGAACAAAAAAGGCAAGAGGACTGACTCATTGCCATATCTACATATTTCTGGTTCAATGCATCGATAGGGCAACACACACACACACACACACACAAATAGGCACACACAAAAGGACATAGAGGCAAACACACAAAGAGACCCACACACACACTCACACAAACACACACATGTAGATACAGAAACAGAACGGCAATGCCAAAACACCGAATAGCAAACATCTCTGGCGATTTTGCAGTGAAAAAGAGCAGCACGAAGTGGGGGCATAGAGAGAGAGTGGATATCAGCCGCAGAGCACGGGCAAACCAAAAGCATTCGAAAGATGCCAATTCATTTGTGCCACAGGAAAAACAAAAAATCAACAAAAACAACAACTACAGAAACCCCAATCGGATGTGAACAACAATGTACCAGACATATAGAATGCATATGTATATGTATTCGCATTCGTATAATATACCATCGATCCGAGCCATTGTAATTTGCAACTTTTCAATTTTCAATTCCCACAATTTTCATATATATTTTTTTTTGCCCGATATTTTTCCACATTTCAGCTGGAAGATAAATTAATTTTGTGCGGGGTTGACAGATGTAAGTGAAACATGAAATAACTCTAGATATTCCTCGTATCGAAATTGTTTGCGGGCTGGTGCGAAAATTCCAATGCCCAGCCACTGAACCGTTAATAACCGAAAGGATGGATTGTAAACTATAAACAAAACAAAAAAATACAAATATAATGCCACGAAGAAATGCCCAATTATTTTAAGGTTTCGATTCGCTTTGATGTGTTCAACAGAATGAAATATGCAAATTTCTGTGACGTGACCCACTTCTTAACCACAGAGACACAGACGGAGACGGAGACAGACATCTACGTGTATTTGTGTGTGCGTGTGAGGTGGGCAAAGGCTCTGAAGGAGTTGTGTGTTGTTTGGAGCTGCCATGTCTGTGTCTGTGATGGGGTTGCAAGCAGCAATCCACGTAGTACATATGTATGTATCACACTTTAATGTGTTTTGGTCAAGTTATGTGCTAATGTTTATGAAGAAAAACTGTCCTTAGGGGGGCTACCCTAGCACCTTCCACAGTGGAATGTCTCTTTAGCTGACAGACACTGAGAGAAAAACAGTTCTATAACTTCTGCTGTTAACTATCTTTGGAGAGACCAAGCATATTTTTTTTTCTCAAAATTTAATGGTGTCCCAACCAACACTGTTTCACTGTACCTGTCTGTCTGAGAGCACTTGGTCTATAATTTGGCTGGGACCTTGCCACAGTTTGCCATTTATTTAAGTGTGTGTGTGTGTGTGTGCTGTTGTTGCCACGATAATTTGCTGTGACATGCAACTGTTAAAACTTTAATTGACGCCAGAGAGGCAAAGAGAGCGAGAGCAAGACGGAAAGAATGCCGACAGGAGACAGCAGCAGTTGAGAGGCAAACACTGAGAGTTAGATTATATCCGGCTGGACAAGGGCTTACACGTACGAGTATGTGTATGTACATGCATTAGACGAGAAGCCCTACAGTTTAGAAGTGCTGCTATTTCTCATCTTTTTCATTCTCATGCTCCCAGATAATTGAGTTTCCTGCCTGCACACAGAGATCCAACAGCAGCTACATATTATTGTTAACTCATTGCCATAAAAGAATGAACGAATAACAGGAAGAACTCTGTGTGCCCCCCCCCCCCCAAACCACCACTCATCATACTCCCATGAATGTCTAATGTGAATTGTCACACTCCTTCCCGCTGCCTCTCTTAACGGTTCTGTGTCTATGAGGAGGAGAAGCAATTACTATCTAGAAATTCCCCAGCATTGGAAATAAAAACCGAAAACTAGCAAATGGAATTTTCAATTTGAGGCGGAATCAACAGTTTGGCAACGAAGAGAGAGAGAGAACGGAAAGAGAGCGGTGCCATGCACTGCTTAACCGACGCCGAACACGAATTCAGTGCACGAGCGACGCACAGTGGCGCTCGCACGAAAAACTAAGCGTACAATTACGGTGCTCTCCAAGCAAATTCAACAACAAACGAGCCACTGTGCCACGGTGCCGACGAAAGCTCGTGGAGTTTAAGGACGGCATTGGACGACGAGCACTGGCACTGTTCTGTTCTGTTCGAATCGTCGTTGGGTGTGGACGCGAGCGGCAGCGCTATAAATAGGTGTTCTTCCGTGACTCTCGTATTTCTGGCCGATGCCACTGGCTGATGGGGATGCCCCAACAACATACTGCACGCTGAGAATACGCCGCAAGAGTTCAAGTGACAATTTCCCAACCAATATCAACTTTCACGACAAAGTCAACGCAAATTGAATTTGAATCGAGTGCGGCCTGATCTTCGATTCGTCGACTCATTATACGCAAAATAGCGAAAATAGCTAAAGTTTTCTGTGCACAAAGTTTCGTGGCAAAACAAAACCGAAAACTCCTCGAACACATTTTCCAGGCACATTCACACCCAAAGTGTAAACCAATTAACAGAAGTCATTCTCGTGGAATAAATAAATTGCAAACAATTATGAATTTCAAATCCCAGCCAGGCATAATCAAATAAAATGTCCAGCAAAATTTTAATGGCAAATGCAGCTCAAAGCAAACAATTCGAAGCATAGACGAACCAGCGACCAGACCAGGGGCTGTGCTGCAGTGCAGTGCGGTGTGGCAGAGTGTTGTGGCAGTGGCAAACAGAGTCAAAGAAAGCCGCAGGACTCACCCACAATAATATATAATTGGTAATAGTAACAGCAGGTAAGAAAATAACTCAAACAACGAATATTGTATGCCCTGCCAAATGATGAAAGGCAACAACAACAAAATACCCAAAAATTCGCCAAAGAATATTCGTATTTTAAAATATTCAGTTTCTGTTCAGATGGTTGAAATCTTAGGGATAAAATATCGTCTTAAAATGTGTTTTATTTTATTGTTTATCATATAAGACAGTTCTTACCGGATCTCATACCCTTAGCTGAACAATAACTTAAGCTTCTTACTTCCTTAATACACTTTCCTCTGCGCTTGGTCCCAATTAACAACGTCGTCGGAATATTGCCCTAACCAAACCTTACGAAAGGAAAAGGAACCTCCCTACATACACACCACAGCCCCCTCACCCACGTCCATTAATGTTCATGTGTGTAATGGGAAAAGCCAACAAATTTGGCAAGTGCGACTCTGTATTTTATTTGAACACCTTTAATTAATTAAACGGCACAGCTCCCCCAAGTGCGGGCGCCTAAAAAAAACTTCTTGCTTCGCGACGAGGCTGCTCCTTCAGTTGGAATAATGGGGACGGGCGGGCCAGCGGTGTGGGCAGCCCAGGGACTGCCAACTCGTCTTTCAACAGCATCATGATTATTATTTTATTTCATCACGCGGCTTTTAAGCAACAGTCGTTGTACACTCGCGGCAGCTTCATGGAGGTTTCTCTGTTCTTCCTTTCCGGCACACCTCGAATCTCTAGTCCCCGGGGGGGTCGGGCACCCCGGCGTGGCGCCTATGTCCCACTGCGTGCCGCATTTATACCAATTTGAAAAGCGCGGCATACTTCTGCGCCAACCGCATGATTATATATTTATTTGATTTTCTTTCGGTCTGTGGTTGCTCTTTCTTGTTTCTTCCCACAAATTTTGGGGTTCTGCTCGGAAAGTATTTGCATAAAATCTAATCAAAAGGCCTGCCACATTATCTGCTCGGACTGCTGCCTCATGAAAATTTCAATAAGACTTTGACACACACACAAGCATGTGTACAATATACATATATGTATTTACTGCACTTAACCCACATTTTGGTAGCGATCTGAGGGCCCGGAAAAGTCAACGTTTAGGCTTTGGGCTGCTCGAACAGCTCTAAAAGCATTTTTAATAATTCAGAAGTTTGTATTTTGTTGCAGTCTGTCTGTCTGTCTGTCACAGCGGCTGCCAACTCTTTAAGCTTGTTGTTTCAATTTATTTGTATATTTACGACTACTTGTTTATTTATATCATATTTTTTTGGGTGTGTTTGTTTTTCGTGGGATAAAGAAGTTCGATTCAATAAGGGCGAATCTTTGATGCCCTTAAATGGGATGAGATGCTGACTTACGATAATTCTACCGATTCCTGTTCAATCCAAAAAAATTTAACCAAATGAAATTAGCCTTTACATCAATTTGCTTTCAAGAAGAAGTGCTAGGCACTAAGTAATATATACAATAAATAATTCAACACAATAAAAGATTGCTTAATTATTATATTATCTTTGGTTGGTCATTGACCAAATCTTCCCAGAAACTGGGCAATCAATCATGAACCTGTTAGGCAGGCAATTGAGCGACATGTGCGTACCCTACCCCATACACTGGGCATATGCCCCATCAGATAAGTCTATCTATAGAACCAAACCACCCGTTTCCATCTGATGCACGCATGCTTGTGCTTGTCATGCGAGTGGCCGGAGAACGAAATTTTATTTACCTTTGCCATCAGCAGACAGGCAATAAATGAAATACACAAAAAAGTAAGATGAAAAACCTTTATCGTATGCCCATCAAAATTAATGCAGTTAAACTGGACCGCATGTAATCAATGAAATATTGATATTTTAATGTTTAATCTTTTCAATTAAATTTGCAATGATTTATCATGTCATCCGAAGATGTTTGGCGAACGAAATCAATGACACATTGGGGTCCGGCCACGGCCCCGATACGGGACCGGAATGGTAAATGACGTTGTCGCATAAATCAATTAAAATGCTAATTGAAAAATAATTAAATATACAAATTAAGTTGCAAGTTGCTGTCTGTGGGGCTCATCTGCATTAATATCGTGATGTGTGTTTCCTTGACGATACGGTTCTTAATGATTCAACGAATGGATTGGGGTTCCAGTTCGTATACGTATTCACATTCGTGTCGAGTGGGCGATTTCCCACCGAGCCTCAATCGTTCTGGCAATAAATATCCAAATCTTTCCCATAACATTACTACGTCCCGCTGCCACAGCTAAACAAATGAAATCAATTTGTTTTCCTAGCCATTTGTAAGCCAAACAATCAAGAAATCATAATTTGTATAGAACTAGTCAACTATTTGGCCATTTTTCTTGATTGCATAGAATCAAGAGTTCATAATGTGATGCACAAATCACGCATACGCCACATTGGCCCAACAGAAATGGCAGCTAATTATTCCGCTAAGCTCATTAACAGCTTTAACCGATCAGAAGTGCTCGAAAGGCTCTTCACAATCACAATTGCAATTCCATCAAGTGGAAAGCATTTCCATTTTAAGCTTTTTACTCGCAAATAAATTTTAATATATTCATTTAATTGAATGGTCCAAAAAAGGGGGGTTCAGAGGACATCCATCCACCAATCAATCAATCAGCGGGCGTGATGAAAATTATTTTAAGGGAAAACCCCAAAAAAATAAAAGGAGAATGGAAAACAAAATAAAGAAAAGAAAAGGAAAGCTTGTGGCTGCGGTTTGCATAATAATAGGTCCACCATGCAAAAGCTGAGACCGAATACAGCTCTCAGGTCTCATCTCTCAGCTCCCAGTACGTGCCTCAGTCACTGAGCTCGGATCAGCTCGGTTCACTTCCATTCCATTTCGTACGGTTCGGTTTGGTGTGGTTTGGTTTGGTTCGGTTTGGCTGGATTTGGGCTCCATTCTGTTCACTCAACCGCAACACAGATACAAATTAGCAAGTGCAGAAGCTTCACCCCTTCACTATGGGTATTTGCTGGATTTTTCTGTCAGCTCTGTGGCTTGTCAATGCCAATGGGGAAAGGAGAAGGCAGGAAGGAAACGAAAGGGTTACGAAACACATCTCTGGCTGCTGGCCCCCCCTCCACCACTCGTTCTCGTATTTACCCAATCGCTTCTTTGCTCGGCGGCTATCCTCAGTGCAAACATTGAAGAAAAGTTTTAATTACAACAAAGCAATTATTAAGTATTATACAAGAGAGAGAAGAGCTAACAGAACGGAGACCATAGCCTGGCATACTGACGAGTATGAGGCGCTGAGCGAATGGAGCGTGCTGCATGTTAATGGATAACACAAACTCAACTTACTGACAGCCGCCACAGAGCACCTCCCAGTGTTTACATATCTATGGGGGATGGTTCCACACCTCTTTCCCACAGATATCCACCGTGGAAGGCTGGCAGTATTTTTCTGGTCAGTTTTCCTGCTGGTTTTGTTAATCTGCATAATATGCTAATTACGACACACTTTTCCGGCACACCAATCATTCATTTATCATTCCGGGACACAAACTTCATGTGCGGGCTCTTCAATTAGACCCTGAACATTTCATCTGTTTAAGCCGCTTCTATCCCTGTCCCCTGTCCCCTGTCCCCTGTCCACTGTTCCCGCCGCTATCTCTTTATCCGTCCTGTGCGCACAATTTGCTTTGCTAAGATTTTAATTTTTCGCTTTTGAGAGCGCTGAAGATAATGCATACAAATTGGGGGCAAGCAGAAAGAGATACAGTGAGGGCTCGGGAGGATTCTTCAGGCAGGTAATCCAAAGAGCAGCACACATCTCAAAGGAATTAGATTATCTCAAGTGAAGAGCACTTCTGCTCTCCACATGTACTTCACTTCCTCAGCAGCCGTAGCGAGACATCACTGTAGCTTCTGTTCTGTTCTGCTGCAAACGCATACAAAATTGTTGCCCCATCACTCAGCCTGATGGCGTTGGCAGCTGCTTTTCAGCGTTTGCTTTTGTATTTCGCGGACGACGGGGCGGTGAATGGGATGAGCTTACAATATTTTGCAGTCAAAGTCAAAAGGAATCTCATCAGACCCTCAACCACATGCATATCCTCCTCCTGCTCCCCCTTCTGCTCCTGTCCCTGTTCCTACTTTAGTCTCACAGAAAAATGTGTTGCATGCCACCAAGGGGGCAACAGGCTGGGAGCTTATTATATTATCAGTGCACCTTTGATTTTTGATTGACGCGACAAAGGAGCGCCACAGAGAAAACCAGAGAAAACTCCACCTCACTTTTAATTGCACACTCCACAGGACCCCATAAAGCGGCATCCCAAAGGAGGATAATATGCGCATAAAGTTTTTATATTGTAGAACAGGCCATCTGCCCTTTATATGCAACAACATTTACTAGCATTTTTAAGGCCCGAGCACTTTAATTTGTGGAAAATATGCAAACGGAACTGGAATTGAAATGAGAGTGCAAACACACACAGGAGGCAGACGTAGGGCGCAGACTGAAAGCCATTTTACTGCCGGCCTATATTTCTCTGCCCTCCTGGTACCCCCCCGCTTTCAAGTGCCCTTGGGGCGAAGTCTATTCACGATTTCGAGCCTTTTTCCGCCCGGGTGCTAAAACACACGCGGCGTCATCGAATTTTTGAATGAAGCTGAAAGCGTCGTAGCCGCCGCTTTTATACATTTCTCTGTGATACGAGGGATACGCAGGATAGGAGGGGAAAGAGTAATAATGGTAGAGAAATAGGAAACATATAAAAGAGCCCATTTAATTGCTTTTTTTCCAGAGAGCAACTCTGCAGTTGAGCGAAACTGTGGGGCTTTAAATTGAAGATCAAGTCAAGTAATTGCGAATTATAATGAAATTTTAATGAAAGGATTTTGTTCGTATTGTTCTCGTTATAAGTTTACGGCTTTTTCCTTTGACAATCAGCTCTGAGTGTCTAATATTTTCACGTATTTTTGTGAGCGTTTAAAATGGAACTCTTAAGAAATAAATATTGTAATTAGTGAACTGACTAAACGA